TACCGTTCTCCTTTACAGATAAAGCTTTGTTTTACCTCGAGTTTCTTGTTTAGGTAATGTTTCGAACGATCTGAAGCGTAAGGCTGTTCAGAAACACCTGAATTCTTGGGTAAGACGTAAACCTGAACGAAATTATATTGAAATATGTTATGATTTTGAATTGCTATATGCTGGAATATTAATTTGTTAATTAATTGACTTAATTTGTCAATTTCTATTGTACTTTGTCTTAAGATCAAGGATCTGCTGCAATGCGAGGAATCCGCGTTCATCATGGTCACGGACGATTATGGTCATTGTTTTTGTGAGGTATGTATGTCACCAGCTCTTGTTACTTCATTCGCTCGATTGTTCCTCTGAAAAATACAGTAAAACTAGAATTGCAATTGCAGTTAAAAAAATTTCCAACCTCATAATATCATTCATGATTATCATTAGTTTGGCCTTGAATAATTCAAAATATAATGATCATAAAATTGTGCCTTTCGTTTGTGCTTCGATCTACTGTTTCTGCCATCTAGTGTTAAATATCTAAGGCATGACTGCTTCGTGCAGTTGCACTTTGCCGCAGTACATGTCCGTAGCATCGTAGAGAGAGGAGATAGCTACCGAATAGTAACCTGAGCTTTGGCTTAACTACACTATGGGCACAGCTGTCAGGAGATATTATGCAGCGCGTCGCGTTAGGGAATGTCAAGACATTGACGTCAGCACAGGCATAATTAATACTCTAATGATTTGTTTATTAGCCAGATAATTCATGGTTCAAATTACCGTTTTGTACCAAGTGTTAACTACCTGGTTGATGGCAGTGATAACTTTAATATCTCTATTGTTCGCTCAGTTGAAGAAATGAAATTCTCTTTAACTTCGAAACTTTGCAATAACCCTTAATAGAACTGATTCAATATCAAATTTTAAACTCAAATTTCAGTTGTGTAAATCTCGAATTACCAGATTTTACTGTATCGGAGCTGCACACGTCAAGGTTCTAATAAACGACGAAACTGTTAAAAAGGTTAGGAAGTTTTGCAGTCAGAAATTTGTTCCACGCTGTTTGGAAAGAGCACTTGATCAGAGGAACACCAGAACAAAATTTCAGAAAAATATGTAATAATGTGTGTTGGTCAGAACATGGCTTTTCGGTTCATTTCCTTCATAACATACAACAAGCAATATTTCGATTGAAAAATATTACATGCTGCTGCGCGGATATCGAACTTAGTAGAGCTGCAAGCTGTTTAATGCTCCTAATGTCCATTTAGCTCACCGTTTTGCTGTTTGATATCAGGTATGTGTAAAGGAACACAGTTGCTCGTTGAATCGGACAGCAGTCCTTGATCAGTTTATTGATGGATGCAATGTAGTGGGTGTGTCGTCCGTAGGATCAGGGTTACCACGTTAGCAGGTAATGAGACCGCTGAGGTCGAGTACTGCTCAGTCGGTTAGGTGCTGGGGTTTGAGACACGGTCACCCGCCCGTCGTCCTTCCGATGTAGATAACGAATCACTGCTTCGAAGGAAGGAAGCAGGCGACCTCACGCTATATGAATTATCTAGTGCAGATATAGCCTTGTCAAAAAGCATCTAGGGATTACTGCCGATGACGCGGCTACAAAGATTATTAGCCAACCTAAGTTCGCGGAAATGATCGGTTCCACAAACAGTGTCCATCGTGAAAGCGTGATTCGACGGCTACAAATTTTCATTTTTTGTCTGCTTTGAATGAAAACACGGATACAAATTTTTTGTCTCTTTGTATGTCCAATATTTTCATCAGGCCGTATTACATTGCGTGAACCGTAACCAACACAGGTTCAGCCAGCGTTTTTTGGTCTTATAAGCTCTTGGCTGGTATTTTCTTTCCAAACGAAATTTTGGATAGAATTTAATCGAACGGAAGCAAGGCAATCACCATATTTGGGTTCTGATCGCGATTGTCGTTTTTCCAGATAACAAAGCCGTGGGACTTCTTGAATTGCGTTGCTTTTATGTGACATTTTCATTTTCTGTGGATTCCGAATCGCTTTTGCCTTCGAAGGATTTATGCAAAGGTCTGCGTTTGAGACAGCTCATAGTAATCCCTAAGCAATAGGCGAAAATGAAATGTACCAACGTGATTTTGAGTAGGTATTGACGGGTTCAATAAGTACGG